CGTTTAACTGATGAAATGGCAAATATTACGTTATGTGATACAGGTGTTGCAGACAGAGGCCTTTCCTTACCACTTGCTGAAAATCAAAATCGAAACTCCGGTTGTGTGCATGTGTAATAAACCTGTAATCAGTCAACTTACTTTTCAAAGACTTTTGTATCGACTTTAGCTAAGCAGTTAACCTATACCAGCATTGTGAATGGATAATGCCTCAGAGACAAACGGCCAGTTTTCCATGGGAGATTAAGTTTAAGGCCTGTTTTATACATCTCATGTCTGCAGCAGCACTTTTTCATTTCATTGCTCGCATGAACAGGTTATAGCATTCATGCTGCATGTTTACGCAGAAGCAGCTCTACATGTAGAGTTTCATCACCGAGCCTGTTTGTGCTGGGCGTCACACTGAACGCAGCAGAAAATGCACTTAGCATACGTAACACAGTCTTTTGCAATATACTGTGGACTTTTATATAGCAACACGAAATATGGAGAAAACCACTCACTCATTGTTTGATAAAAGATGTCTGTCAGGATTGATGTTAAGTAAGTCTGATTGAATACAAACTATTGAAGCAGTTTATAGTCTTTAAAGTTTGAGTTCTGTGTAAGTCTTTGAATAATTTGATGTAAATGAATGTTAGATTTCAACTCCTGAAACCCATTTTTTAATTTACAGCATTTATCAAAGAAAATACTCAGTGTGTAAATCAGAAATCACTTTTTCTGCGTTAAATTAATACAATTATTAAATAATTCTTTAAGCCTTTCTTACTGTTAAAGACAATGAACAAGATATTGATGCCAATATAGATACCTATTTTTTAGATAAAATTGCTGAAGATTTCTTCCAACAGAATTATTTTCATGCTAAATAAATAATGAAGCATTAATGTTAACATAATAAAATATAAAATCAAATATGATTATTAAAGCTGCAGTCCGTAACATTTTTTGGTTAAAAATGATCAGAAATCAATATTTAAGCAAGTGCATAACTAGCCAGTGTTCAAAACTGTTGCCTTACGCTCACAACGGTTAGCTTATAATAATGTTTTCTAATTTGAGTGGTACGGGTAGGTTTTCACGGGAAATTCGAGCATG